TCATTGGCAAGAGCCTGGAAGGGAGACTCGTTCAGAATTTGAAGATGCCTTTTGCCTTAATATGTATATGTTATATGTTCCACAAAAGGTATTCAACTGCAAATGGATAGAACATGTTTGATCATGGATGTTCTGTTCAATGAGGCATTATGTGTTCTTCATTGTTTTCTTCTTGAGGGCTCCATTGTATATCTGAGTGGTCAAATTCTCAGCTTTTTCCTGCGACGGGTCATTGGTCAATCAAGGATGTCATGAGGAGTCACTTGGCTTCAGAAGGCCCTTGCCTCCATGAAGTCTGGGAGAGGAAGGCGCTGGTTTGTGAGGCTCCCATTGGGGACCCACATCATGGAGACCGAACTGATTGGGACCCACGGTGTGCTGCAAGTAGGAGCATGGGGCCAAAGCCCTGTAGGGGAGATGAAATAAACACATGGATAGCACTTCTAACTTATAGTCGTCTAGCACAAGGTGGTTTGCGCCTCCCGCCCATGCTGAGTATGATGTTGTTGTTGTTGTTGTTGTTGTTGTTTGTCGTTGTTCACTCTTAAGGTTTAAAAGCGACCCATCAAATGAGCCTTCAAGAAACACCGTGCCAAGGTAGGAGTTTGCTGTTCAAGTTCCATGAACGAATCTCCATCGCACAGTCTCCACGTGATGAAAAGAGGCATGGTGCCTTGAGCTCACTTCCAATATCTTAAAGGGATTTCCAGCCTTCCCCCAACTGACCTATCAGATAAGAAGGAGAATGGGCACAACATCTTCTGTATGGATCCGGTCCTTCTGCCTTTTTGTTCTGCCGCGCAGTGCCGAGGGAGGTGAGCTATGAAGGCTTCCTTTTGATGAAGCTTCAACTTTTGAGCCTCAACCCGATGAGATCTCCAAGACGCTGACCCTTCGGGCTGACCAAATCAAGTGCGGAAGTGGGAGTGCGGCACTCGCTCCTGGGTAAGGGTTGTTGCTTGTACTTGCCAATGCTTGTACTTGGCCCGCTTGCAGCCGGACAGGGACCGGTGGAAATGGCACACCCTGCCGTCGTGATGGGTCCGGGGCCAGGCATTCCGAGTTCTTGGAGACTTATGCAGCCAACATCGGGAGAAGTGGCCAGCCAAGCACATGGACGAGCCGGCAGTCAGTCACACGTGCAGCAGGATTTCTTGTAGCATGTTCTTTGAGCTGTCCTGAAAAATGAAAGTTTTGATTTGAGAATCAAGGTCAAGGTGTTTTAACTGCTGTGTGCTGCTGATGATGTAGGTCAGCATGATCAGCATGACTGACTAGCATGTATGTTCATCAGACGCATGGCCTTGGCTTTAGCCATTCATCTCCTGCTGTGTTTGAATTATGTGGTCCCCTTCTGATATGCTGGAAGTATTTCACGTGTCACTTCCAAGGTGCTGGAAGCCCCTTTGTTCTACAAAAGTTCTCGGCAAACTCATGACTCATGACATTCCTTTACTACAGGACCCAGGTTGTTTGAGTCCTATCCTGTTGGGAAGCATTCCCCTTTTCTTCCTCCTTCACCTGCTCACCGCAAATGGCGAAAACCTCGTCGTCGTGAAGATGTTGACAGGGAGCCAGAGGTGAGGGATGTCCGATGAGGAGGGATGGGGGTTCAGGCACTGGCTGCCCCATGCTGCGGTCGTGGCCTAAGAGGTCGGTCCGGCGCCGCCCAGGCCCGTGCCATCCGAAGATTCCTAGAACAAAAGGCTTAACATCGGGCATTGTCTTGCACCACCTCTTCAGGATCTTGTGGACTTCTGTAAGAAACATCCCATTTCTCACCATGAAGCCTTTGCGGACTGAGGCCAGGCAAGGGGCAGAAGGTTTTGCCAACTATTCCTCGAGGACGCGTGAAGATTTGCCAGCCTCTAGGTTCAGATCAAGGGACCTGCGCGTCTTTATGCTGGAAGTGCCAGTATATGATTGTGTAAGAGAACTATCGGAAGTCAAGCTTGGCCGCTCAATTGGCTCAATGCCTGAGCTCCATGCCGTGCAAAAACCAACGCTGCCACCGCGCATCACTGGTGCAGCTTTCAGCCCTCCTTGACCGTTCTTGGGGGGGGGTTCACGGATGACAGAAATCGACTTGGAAAACAATTCTCCCGTTTTCCCAGTTCGTTTGTCCCCTATGATTCGCCCTACATTCTACATTCGTACTTTTACCGAAAGGCCAGTCGAACCTGCTTGTTTTCTGACGTCAAGTGACCCATGCATGGGTCGTTGGTGAGGTACTTAGTGTTTTCGTGTTTAGTTTAGGCCCATCCAACCTGCACTTTGCATGGCAGGGCATGTTGCGTGTCCGCGATCCGTGGCCACGTGTGGAATCCGCGTCCCCAGGAGCACGAGGGAAGCCGTTCATGAAGACGACCGAAGCACTGGGCTTTGAGCTCACAGGCCGTGCACAGAGGGTGTGAATCAGTCCCTTGCCTTTGTTAGATGGATCACAATCGAGAGCAAATCATTGAAGCAGGTTGACGGACCTTGAATGAACGACTGTGTTTTGGTGATCGTGATTATTGTACAGCGAGTTTGTACGGTTTGTTCGGGTGTTCCAGTTGTGAGTTGTGAGTGGCTGGTAGCCCGCACATAGGCGAGGATTTCGGCGGGCGCTTCGAGGATCGCTGGGCGGCTTCCGCGTGCGACGTTCTACTCACGTGACCTGTTCTCACCTCGATGGACGGGCAAACGGTCCGCAAGAGACCGGGCCTGCGCATGCCGCGACGAGCCGACAGGCTACCAGATTAGCGAGCGTGACTTCCCGAGCTGGTTGGGGGGGCGCCCAGTTAGGAAGGAGCTCCACCGTCGCGGGATGGCCGGCACGCGGGATGATCGCCGATTCGATCAACACGGTCTACCCCGGCGATGTGATTGCCCGTTTGGCAACGAACATTGCATGGCCTCAGGATTCAATGGCTCCGGAAAGCTTCCAAAAGGTGTCAATTGGCATGGTCTAGGGCAGACGGCCATGCCAATTCCTAGGTGGAGTCGATTTGTAGATGACACACCCCACAAGAGTTGACTTGACTTAGAAGGACGCACTTACGTTGGGAGCATGTATCCTTGAAGCACTCCAAGTCTAAAAAAGGTCCCTTTCAAGGTTCCAAACCTGTGCACAGCTACAAGATGCTACAAGTACATATAGAGGTTCTTGTACTGATGTTTGACACCGAAGTGGGAGGAGTTGGGCGAGGTGCTGAACTGACACAGGTCCACCAAAAACCAACGATGGCCTCTCACGACGAGTATTGGATAAGAAGCGCCCCATGGCCTTTTTAGAGAGGCTGTCAACTAAGCGAAGAGTAATTGCAGGTCTCTTTGCCATTTGACCAGCCACAGCCAGGCCATTCTTTAGAACTAAAATGGGCTTTCTAATGAAGGTGCGTCGCGAGACTCTAGCCGACTCTAGCCCTTATGCAGGAACACAAATGAGTTTGATGCTTTCATGATGATTGATTGATCTGTCTCGACGACGCGCGAGACGCCGAGGCCACCGGAGACATCGAGTTACGAAGAGAAGGAGCGTGGTTTTTAACCACGAGCCGAGCCACCGGGAGGGATGGAGAAATAGATTATGAGAGGTCGAAAGACGTGTATATATATATATATACAGATCCTATATATAATATGTATCATAGGCTATCCCGTAGGTAGTTCAGGTGATGGGTCCTTTGTCAGGTCACTGAACCACTGGAGATGGGATGATTTTGTTTGGAGTCCTTTGGGGGTGTCATTTTGGGTGTTGAATGGTGTACTTGATTTGGATGATAGTGTGTTGGGAGGCCCACTTGGCATGCTTGGATTGATTTTGTGTTGTTTCCTTCGGCTCTTTGATAGAATTAGGATGGACTCATCCAGAATCAGGCTTCATTTCAAAAGGATGCAGATTGCATGCACCACCGTGTCGCAGGTAACCCCCAAGAAAATCCGCACAATCTATTCCCAGATTTGTATCCTAGTTAGTTGTGTTATGTTCTCCGCACTTGAAGGAATCTGACAGTGTTGATCCGAACGGGCACCATGCCATTTGATGCGGTTCACCAGCTGGTGGGTTGATGGCTGGCAGGAGTGGTATGCCATGGCGAGATCCCTCCGGAACGAAGCGCCACCTTTGCCCAAGCTGGCCATTAAACAGGACAGCGGGGCGCGACGGTGACCGGGAGTCCATGGCACTGAGCAGTTCTCTAAGTGTTCTGATACTTCGTGTGCTTAGAATACAGTGGTTGGCAGCAGAAATGCTTGGCAGTGGTCCCAACGTGGAAGTGTGCAGGGGGTTGCAAATTATGACATTGAACCTCCACTTCCCCCAGTCGCAATCTTCGTGCCCAGCGTGAACCGCTAACGGCTCCGTGGTTCACGGTTCGTCCACTGTTCGTCCAAGCGTCTTGTTGACCAAACCCTTAGGGGCAGAACGGGATGTCAAGAACTGCCGTCCAGGACGAGATGTCAAACTCACAGACGAGCGAACCGCTCCCACGGTTTGGGATCCTCCAGCCGATGCGAGACTCTTTCACCACCAAACACCTCAACTAAGTAGCAGATGCTACCGGATGGGCCTCCAGCTGGTTCCAGGAGCCAGTCGTGGACAACTTCCCAGCCATTCCCCCGCCAAGCAGGGCTGGCCGGCGAAGCTGACTTTTCACCGCCCGAGACGAGACAAATCTGCTGAGACGGCCGGTTCGACCTTCGGGTGGGCGACGGGCGACCTGTTTCGGGGCTTCAGAGTTGGGCGATCGGCTTCGTCCTTGGTCAGCCTGCATATGTTTTTTTGTTGTTTTTTGGTGGGGGCCTTGAGGATCCGCTGGTCGTCCTCTTGCGTTAGATGGAACACCACTCATAGCTTCCTCTCAGGTGGCATTTGCCTACCACTGGCTGTTGGTATGATTCGTTAGACCTATTTTTCACTCTGTCGACAAGGTTCAGGGCGTGAAGATTGTTTCTCCAAACTCATCCGAACTCATCCCCTGATTCTTCGCAGCCCTTGGCTCCGCACAGTGCAGCCCATGGCGTGGCTGCAGCAAGTGAGCGCGCGGCTCACTGGCCGTTCTGGTCCAGAAGAGGAGCATGGGTCCGGAGTTGAGGTAGATGGTAGATGTGAGGCCGTGGAAGCTGTTCTAAAGTGATCTAAACTTGAAGCTGTGGTAAGACCACAAACGGAAGGTGGACAAGCCTGATTGAGTGGTGAGACACCTCAAGGAATCGCAGGTGTATGTGGCTGTCTGGTGAGAAGACGTGGCCATGGGTCACAACCATGGGGGTCCAACCCTGAGAGAGTTTGATTCAGTCGAGGATTCCACCGAGGAACTGGTCAATATATATATATATATATGTATTTGTTTTTATTCTAACTACTATTGGTCTCACTCTGCCACTGCATGTCTGAACGTTTCTGCGAGCATTTTGACAGTAAAACTGGAGAGTCCCGTGATGTTTTTTGCTTTGATTTTTGGGGCTCCAACACATTCACTCCCACTTCCCGAGAGAATTGGACGCCCGTCCGAAGTCAGTTCCGCCCAGGAGACCTCCAAGAGGCCCTCCACGTCTGGAGTTCCGGCACTGGAACGCCTTGGCCTTGGTTTTCTGAGACCGGCATCGGCGGCAGAAGATGAGGAGATAGGGGTGCTGGACGCAGTGATTTCTGTCACACTTAATTGCAGATAAAGATGTGTGATGATTGGTGATGTACGTTTGTGTGTGTGTGTCGACATGCTTGCACTATTCAGAAAACTTAGTGCTTTTTTGCTTTTTCTTTTTTGTGTTTTCTTTCATCCTTTGCCCAAAAATAAATCGATGCACACAACCTGCCGTCCAGGACCCACACCTGCCTCCCACTGACACCGTTCGATCTGGAGCTGCGGTGGATGGGGAGGCGGTTTTTTTCGGTTTGGAGAAGCGTGTGCAGAGTGAAGGATGGGCAGATTGGCAGATTGGTGAGTCCTTGGACCTGATGTTAAGCAATGAGCTTGAGACATGGATTGGGGCAGCAGCTCTACTAGAGGCTACTACTACAAGGGTATAGAGGTATAGACGACGGGACTTAACAACGGCTGTTTTGGTTGTTTGGTGCCCAGTTGGCCTATGTGTTTTGGGTCTGCCATGTTTGCCACATATTTTGCAGCGCTGTTTGTGCTCACCGTTCTCCGCTTTGGGTTCGTCCGACTGGGGCTGCGGGGGTCGGTCCAAAGCAACCCCGGTTCGCACCCTGCGAGACCTGCTTTTCGGACGCTGTCCTCTTTACCTCTACCCAGTTAGGTGTGGCATTCAGCTTGAAAGCTTTCGGTTCATTTGGATCACTGGTCCCAGAATTTTTGCCGTGCCGCTCATCATCGTAAGCGCATAAGGGTTCACACAGATCCCTCCCTCACACGATCAATGCTGCTGACAGAGTAGTGACTCAATTTGGTCCTTTGTCAAAGGGGCATTGTTTCCTTCAAACATTGCCATGACCTGTGCACAGCTCGGGCAACAGGTCCGCACCAGTTTTTTGGATTAAGAAAGCTTGAACAACTTCCATTGAACTGATAAGTAGAACTGGCACCATCTCATTTTCTCAGAATCGTCTATAAAGACAGATGCCAAAATAACATCCTGGCCGGTCCACTGAGACAGATGCTCAGTGGACCGGCCATCGAGGTCTTAGTCGGAAGGGGCAAGTCGAAATCCACAGCCTCAGGGTTGGTATGGAAAACTGATGCAAAGGTCCTGCTTGGAAAGAACGACCAGATGGACAGGAAACACGGATTTGCCAAGCGTATGATCATTGAATCATTGCCAATTGAACAACTTCAGTAATTATGGTGGTTGGGTCATGAACTACGGGTGTGGGTTTCGAGGCAAGCTCATTCGATGTTGACCTCAATTGTCGTGTTGTCTCAATCTGGTAGGGTGAAATTCAAGGCGAAATGATCTAAAGTAGATGCACATCCACAATTCCAACTTCCATGCGGGGGCATGCGGTCAGTCCAAGAAAATACATGACTGTCCCGTAGGGTTGAGACAACATGCAACCTGCTTCACACTCTACACGTTGCTGGTCCCAGGCAGAGGCATCGCCTCCACTTCCGGCGCCCCCAGCGCCACCAGCGGCAGCCGTCGCCTTTGGAAGCGGCCTGGAGAGCGTCAGCAGCCTATTGGGCTTTAGAAGGGCAGAGGACGGGTGCCAAACGGTGCTTCCGCCGAAGCACTTAAGTTCTCAGAAGCAAAAGAACCGGCGGAAAGCTGTGTTGCCCTTCGTTGGCTCGACAGGACCCCGGGCCCCTGAAGACAGACACGGCCAGATCCGAAAAGGCAACAGGGGCTGTGACTCGAGTCATGTTGTGAGACACTGCCATATTTAGCTAGCATGAATCCGCATGAATGTGTATATATATAGATATACATCTGAAGGAATGTATGCAAGCACACAACTCCACCAATTCTCACCATCACCATGTGCAACAAACTGAATGCGGCGAGAAGGGCAAGCACAGATGGAAGGATCACATTTCAAGATGGTGCAGCAACAGCAAGAATGTCAGAAGCACCAAGCTCAAGAAGTCTCAGAAGTGTTTGTGTTGAATACCTTCTTATCAACGGACAAACCTCAGGCTCGCCAAATGTCTCAGACTCTTTTGCCACCATACGGCTTGGGCACCAGCCTTGACCTGTTTTTAGCCGGACATGTCTCCTGTGAGTTGTTTTTCTCGGGGGTGTTGGTTCCAATCTTTCAATGGGTAGACCGGGCAGATGCCCAAGGGGCATAAAGACCCTGCATGAACTCAGACAGCTGCTGGAGGCGCCTCCCACGAGTGCAAGCCTCGGCCTCGAGAGTTTCAGCAGTCTTTTAGCCTTTTCCAAGGCAGGGATCTTGACCTGAAGCCGCGATTGGAGTTGAAGCACGAGGGGAGGGACAAATGGGACCCCCGGAAATGGCTGCATGTCAACCGTTTTTCAGCCGGGACCAGGAGTGGGTGTTGCGGATGCTGACTGGTTTTGACTCTTCTTGACTGTTCTTTGAGTTCAGGAACCTGAGAAGTCACCGGACGCCTTCCTTGCAGACAAGGCGACTAGTCACGTCTAAATGCCAAAACGAGGAAAACAAGTCGACCATCCGGCAGTGATTGGCATTCCGGACCTTAAGGTTATGGAACCAAATGTGTTTGTTGTTTGCTCCATATCAGCGACATTGGGCGCTCCAAGTTGTACACATGTCGTCTTCACATTGTGTTCTTCCATGAACTGGGCCAGCTGAACGCTGAGGCTTCTCCTGAACCGCAGCCTTTGCCGAGCTCTGCCTTTGGAAGCCTTGGTTTGGACCGTGTGGGCACTTTGCTGGCGTTTGGCTCGACCCTAGACGAGGAGGGGCCAGGGAGGGTGAAGCTTGCGCCTGCAACAGGCAGCTAGTGAAGAGAACCCAAGAGTTGTTGACAGTCTACGTTGTCACACAGACAGAGCCAGGTGGTCTTGACAAGTGACAGTAAGCCGCTTGAAGAAGAAAAGGTAATGATGATGTCTGAACTTCAGAAAGTTCACCTTGGATGGCGAGCAAAGCATGTCACTTTGAAACTGCTTGTTTGAGGACCCAACGACAAGGCCTCCAGCTGGGTCTTCGGATGTTTCTCCTGAGCCAAAGCAGGCGCCTGGCTCTGCCTTCGGAAGCCTTGGTTTGGACCGGGTCAGCAGTTTGCTTCCGTTCAGCTCCCCACCTGCTGCGGAAGAGGAGTGGACATGAGTGGACAGGGCTTCCGACTTTCGTTTACCTGTATCGTTTTGCAGATCGCATGCTTTTGTTTTAGCTGGCCTGGCATGACTGTGCATACCAGCCGTTGTGACAGGAGGGGGCGTTGACAGTTGAGTATTTTACAGCGACATAAGTAGCAAAATGCAGCAAGGTAAGCATAGGACTCGGCCGTCGGCCTTTGTTCTGCTCGAGGACCCAGCGAAAAGGCATCCAGTTGGCGCTGCTTCTCCAGAACCGCAGACCATGCCTGGCTCTGCCTTTGGAAGTCTTGGCCTCGACCATGTCAGCAGTTTACTGGCGTTCAGTGCCCCATCTGCGCAAGAGGACTGGGCAAGGGCAGTTGATGTTCAATGTGTTTTTAATAAGTGCTGGATCTCTTCTTTGTCGGACAGTTGTGTTTCAATCTAGGTAAGTAGCTACTGTAGGTTGAATGGCGCGTTGTGTGCATATTTACTTGGTCAAAGGCTCAAAGTTGCCTTTGAACCGAGTACCATTAATAGCAATATCAAGAGGCCATTATGGCAAGTGACAGTAAGCCGCTTGAAGAAGAAAAGGTAATGATTATGTTTGCATTTCAGAAAGTGCACCTTGGATGGCGGGCACAGCATGTCACTTTGAAACAGCTTGGTTTGAGGACCCAACGACAAGGCCTCCAGCTGAGTCTTCGGGTGTTTCTCCTGAGCCAAAGCAGGCGCCTGGCTCTGCCTTCGGAAGCCTTGGTTTGGACCGGGTCAGCAGTTTGCTTCCATTCAGCTCCCCACCTGCTGCGGAAGAGGAGTGGACATGAGTGGACAGGGCTGCCGACTTTCGTTTACCCGTATCGTTTTGCAGATCGCATGCTTTTGTTTTAGCTGGCCTGGCATGACTGTGCATACCAGCCGTTGTGACAGGAGGGGGCGTTGACAGTTGAGTATTTTACAGCGACATAAGTAGCAAAATGCAGCAAGGTAAGCATAGGACTCGGCCGTCGGCCTTTGTTCTGCTCGAGGACCCAGCGAAAAGGCATTCAGTTGGCGCTGCTTCTCCAGAACCGCAGACCATGCCTGGCTCTGCCTTTGGAAGTCTTGGCCTCGACCATGTCAGCAGTTTACTGGCGTTCAGTGCCCCATCTGCGCAAGAGGACTGAGCAAGGGCAGTTGATGTCGAATGTGTTTTGAATAAGTGCTGGATCTCTTCTTTGTCGGACAGTTGTGTTTCAATCTAGGTAAGTAGCTACTGTAGGTTGAATGGCGCGTTGTGTGCATATTTGCTTGGTCAAAGGCTCAAAGTTGCCTTTGAACCGAGTACCATTAATAGCAATATCGAGAGGCCATTCTGGCAAGTGACAGTAAGCCGCTTGAAGAAGAAAAGGTAATGATAATGTTTGCATTTCAGAAAGTGCACCTTGGATGGCGGGCACAGCATGTCACTTTGAAACAGCTTGGTTTGAGGACCCAACGACAAGGCCTCCAGCTGGGTCTTCGGGTGTTTCTCCTGAGCCAAAGCAGGCGCCTGGCTCTGCCTTCGGAAGCCTTGGTTTGGACCGGGTCAGCAGTTTGCTTCCACTCAGTTCCCCACCTGCTGCGGAAGAGGAGTGGACATGAGTGGACAGGGCTTCCGACTTTCGTTTACCTGTATCGTTTTGCAGATCGCATGCTTTTGTTTAAGCTGGCCTGGCATGACTGTGCATACCACCCGTTGTGACAGGAGGGGGCGTTGACAGTTGAGCATTGTACAGCGACATAAGTAGCAAAATGCAGCAAGGTAAGCATAGGACTCGGCCGTCGGCCTTTGTTCTGCTCGAGGACCCAGCGAAAAGTCATCCAGTTGGCGCTGCTTCTCCAGAACCGCAGGCCATGCCTGGCTCTGCCTTTGGAAGTCTTGGCCTCGACCATGTCAGCAGTTTACTGGCGTTCAGTGCTCCATCTGTGCAAGAGGACTGAGCAAGGTGACAGTGTGTTTCAGAAAACATGTGCCGTGTTTACTTGCATACATGGTGCTTGATGAACTTGCTCTGCCGACTCAATTCACTATAGCATTGAGATTGAGGCAAGTGAAGGGACTCATCCGGAAAGAGATGAGCTGCCCAAGGTTCACTAAACCAACCTTGCACATTTGACATGGCTCAGGTAACACACTTTCAAGTCGGTTGCCTCAGGACCCCAGGAAAAAAGCAGCTGGACCTTCGGCTTCCCCTGAACCACAGCCGCCTGGCTCTGCCTTTGGAAGCCTTGGTTTGGACGTCAGCAGTTTGCTCGCGTTTGGCTCGACCCCTGCAGAAGAGGCGGGAAGACGAGTGGGAGGAGTGGTGAGAGGAATGGACGGGCCACTTGCCAAGCCACTCACCGATCGAATTGACAGAAGAGTACGGAAGGTTGGTCAATTAGGAGGAATTCGGGGATCTGAACAGTTGTCAACTGTTTTCTAATCGATTTCATGTAGCTTTCACTGAACATAGCTAAACATCAGAAAGCTTTTTCCTACTCGGGCTTAGCTGATTCAAAGTTGTGGGAACCACCCCGGTCGATGGAAAGTGCATGTTTTACATCTTAGCGAGCTACAGCTCTTTGTTGTACAGTGCAACCTTCGACTTTTTGACTGCTTGGGACGATCATTACCCACTATGTTACAATGATTTGCAATGTAACTTAATGTTTACCCACCCTTAGAGACAACATGTCTTGACCTCCCTACATTTGGAAAGCAGCAACCAACAAGGCAATGCACACCAATAATCACCAATCATTTGTTGTACTATATACTAAGCACTCGTTTCCCATTGCCGCATCCTTTGTGCAAGGGTGCTATATTTGGGAAAGTGATCCTTCGACGACCAACAAAATCTTCTACCTTTGCATTACCGTTGCATCTCTATAGGCTCTATTTAGTTGGACGAACATGTGCACTATGATGCACTCAGCAATGCACTACCATGTTTGGGGGGATGGATTCGGGGACCATCACTTGTCAAATCTACATACCCCCAGGCACGACAATCAAGAACACATTTGCCTGGTTTCTGCTTAGAGTGATGTTTACTTTCCCAATCCTTTTTCCCAAGAGTGAACCCCCAGAATTGGGAAAATGTGTTATTTTGCCGTCCTGGCGAAGACGGACGCATCGCCTCGTCACCAGGTTCCGCCGCCACGGCACACGCCGCCACATGCCTCACGGCCGCCGGAGGACAGGGAAGGCAGACTCGTGATGAAATCAAATCCGCCCAACTAGAGATGCTTGACCATCCTGGTTCTGAATCCCTAGGGCCCTCACATACAAAGACGCTTTTCGACCTTGTATGTTGTATCTTGACATGTTCTGACATGTTCTGGTGTTTGTCATGGGTTGTGCGTCGCAACTGCCATTGAACGACTCACCGCGCCTCATTTGGAGCTGTTCCTACCCTAAACCTTCCAAAGTGTCAGGCGGTTAAAGGATAAAGGTATATAAGCAAAGTCAGCTTCCGTGGATGGTCCACGGCACGGCCGACTGAACATAGACCTCACACGGCGAAGCCTGGATTCTGCTGCCTCAGGAGCCACCCGAAGCCTTCGCCAGCCTGTTTGAGCATGATCCTTTGCAAGAAGAGGAGTTGGACGAGGTGTGGTGTGACGGCCGAGGGGCCTCCGCCCCCGAGGGAGACGGCCGAGGGACCAGAGTGAGACGGTCTTCCCATGTGGATCTTGTGGGGGGTAGATGTTAGATTGTGGGGGAGGGCGCGGATGCCCAGAATCTGTGACCCTCAAGGCCTGTATACAAGGCCTGTATTCGTTTGGGTATGTCACGACTTGGTCCACAGCTCTTCCCCCAATGGAGAGAGTTGTGGGGTAGGTGGGGATTGCCCCTAAGATCTTGCCAAGATGCTGTAAACGAAAACCTGTATTGACCGGGTGCCATGGATCCATTGACGATCACTCCAGGTTCCCACCGCCGCAAAGCCTCACCTGATCCGCCGGGACCTGCAGAATGAGGAGGAGCAGCCACTGGAGGAACGTGCCACTGCGTTGCCAGGAGAACTGGCCACTTTGCTGAAACAGGTCAGGCCCTATGCTCATCCCACATGTGAAGTGGATCACTTGTGCTCATGGCCGGTTGGCACGAGGATTTGCAGTCATGTCTCCATTGAATGACAGTTCCTTGAGAATTTGAGTGGCACTGTGGTTAAACTACCAACCATCATCAACCATCCAAAAACAGGTGTTTGAGATGTATGCAGGGACATTCTTGAGCATTGCAAATGCTGTACTACTGCTCCAAGCTGTACAGAATCCACTTGGAATTGTATAAGCCACCAGTTTTCTAGCCGCAGTGCGGAACATTCCCAGACACTCCATCTAATATGTAGACCTATAATGACATATATATATATACATTGGAGTTGTTGGAAAGGCGGAGTCAATGTAAATATTCTAGGGCCCGTGGAGTGTGGGATTGGTTGGCAGCTTTGCTGAGCTCTGGGGGGGGGTACGACGAGACTTCAGGACGTGCTGAGACATCAGACCCGCATCGCTGGAAGGGGACTGGTGTGCATGGATCAAACCTTCCAATCTTCCAGCCTTTGTAGATCCATGATCCAATTTTTATGCGATTTTCGGGGAGTTGTTGAAATGCTTGGCATTTAAAGATCAACAGTCCAAGCCAAAAAAAGCACAACAATGATCGCGATGCCTTTTTGGGGGAATGCTTGTTGAGTGTTACATCATGTTACCCTTCAACTTCAGGCCGCCTTTTTTTCTGTGCACGCCGCCCACGCACAGGTGGAGCACGAGGTTGCGCACGAAGATGAGGCATCCGCATCGGGAGGTTGGACGGACACTTCACAGAGCGTTCGGTGGAGGCTTGTTGACCTCTCTAAGTATCTGAAATTGAAGTATGACCCACGCAGGAAGCCGAAAACAAACGTAACTGACAGATAGTCATAATTGTACAGTTCATTACAGTTCTATCAATGTGTCGTACTAGTGTCGTACTATTGAACCTTCGCGTGGCGCTCAGGAGCAGGTGCCAGAGCCATACTTGCTGGAGCTCAGCAGCCATGGTGCGCCATCGACCGAGCTCGCGCGGTCTCCGGGACGTCGGACGGAGCCGGGTCCGTGACGGGGAGACCTCGGTTTTTTTGCCGGTGGAGTGTTCGGTTTCAACCGCGAGGTAGCTGGGTACATCCAACATGAGCCTGGAATCCTTCAGCTGGAAGGAACTTGCGAAACCTTCCACGCCTCATCCTGGAAAGTAAAATATCTTCCCACATATTCACACCCTTAAGCACAAAAACAACTGGAAAACACACCAAAACTATCCAAAACTCACCACACACGAAACTCATGGAAGTCTTTTAGGGAAAGTGAGTGAAACCATCCCATCCCTCAGGTATGGTTTCACAGTGGGCGCCCTTCTCCTCCTATTTGGGCAGCGACCTGAAGCTCACCGCCCCGCTGGCCTCGCCTCCGGGTCCTCTGTTTGCGCTGCCTCCGGATTCGGCCAAGCGGATGCCAGAAGGCGCCCCTCCAGTGAGCCGAGGGGCACATGGGGTGGGTTTGTTTGCAAGTTTTGGGGTACTGAGTTCTCAAAAGAACTGTAGATATTTTGCTCGAAGTTCTTTGGTTTCCATGCCTTCGTTATTCGGTGGGTTTTTGTGGTGCAAGTTTTGGGAACATCAGCGATGCAAACATCAATGGTGAGACCTCTAACCTTGCCACTGCCACACTCCACGGGACTGGAATACCGATGAATACCGCATTTACCGCGGTCATTATTGACCTACAACGACCATCAAAGACCTACAGTTGACCCCAGGCAAAATACACCCCCAGAGTCTGCAAGTCTGCCAATCTCGGGTGTTTGTTTCGTTCTTCCTCACCCAGGCTTCATCGCGTTGTCCGTGCAGCACCACGAGTCCGTGAGCGATGCCACGGCCATCTCTGTGGGGAGGTGGGAGATGGGGAGAGAGGTCGGAGAGAGGAAGGTCGGTTTTGGAAGGTCGAAGTAGATCAGGGAACCTGGAGAAGTCCAGAACCATACCCTCCAGTACTTTGGGATCTCCATTGGACACCCATTGAATGCTTTTTTTTTGCATGCTTATTGTCCTGGCATGTCCTGGCAAGCCAAAGATTTGGGACATTCTCAGGGTACGGCCGTCTACAGATGAATGCCTATGATGGCTCTGACTATGAAAATGGAGAGATGCCCTGGTCCCTTAAGGCTTTAACTGGTTGGTACTATCCTTGTGCAGTGATGTTGTTGCTGCCCTATCTTGAGACGCATCCAAAAGCGTTAATTGCCCACAAAAACTGGTCGATTGCAAGTACACCCGCTGCACGAAATCGCCAAAGATGGGATTGTTGACCAGTGGGATGACCGCTTTTCAGTATTGTCCGTGATAACAGTGGGACTGTGGATGAACACGCACATGACGAGTCTTCATGAATGTTCCAACATCTTCACCGGACGCCTTTTTTTGGGGCGTCGCGGCCACCAATGGCTGCGTTCGGCTGCGGATGAACAGTGGGCCGACTTCGAGATGCGCTCATCGCCAGGTATTTCTATTTCGATGCGGCGGACTATCCCAGCTTCGAGTTCACGAGCTACCCGTGCACCTGTGAGCTTTGGCGCCACGGACGCCTTCACTGGACTGGGCAGGTGCAATTGAGTTTGGGTGTCTTGGGCGAGCCGGCCACAGTGTGGAGCAAAGGTGTGAAACAGTGTGAATGTTTCGATATCACGTCTTAGAGTACCTCAACAAATATAAGCATGCATGCATGTCAAATGTTATACATAGGTATTTCAGCTGCTATGTTGGAATTTGAGCCCACAGTTTTGAGTGGGATATGCTTCTAGCATTTGCGTTTGCCTCCTAGAAATGCAATTGGGTAACTGGCTTTCAACAATGTTGCAGATACATGTGAAGGTTCGAGAAAAACAATATGCCTACCACCCACCCTGTTGGGGCACATAGGGTCTCTGACTTTCATGATGCCATGTTCACACAGTTTCGATGCAACAGCCATCCCCCAAAAAACCAGGTGTTTGTTCTTCCAACTGCCTCCCTACCAGCCATGGGCCATGCCTTCCTCTTCCAAAACGCCTGCGCTTCCTGCATTCCTCAGGCTCCTATGGCGCCGTCGACCTTGAGGATCTCGCGTGCGCGGCCGGGCGCCGGGCACCGGCCAGCGAGTCGCGACCTGGAGACTTCGAGGTGCAGAGCCGCCGGGTTGGGGATTCAGCAGATGGTCAATAGTATGAGTAGTATGAGTGAGCCTGGTTTTCAGTGGCTGGTGCTTGTATACCTTAATTTATTGTATTAATGGTTTAATTGACGTTTCCGATGAAAAGTCGAGTTTTTGTTGGCAAGTTCACATCTAATTATTGTATAGAGGTGCTGTCAAAAATGGGCATGTCAGCCCGAGTCAGCCCTTATGGGTGCCCAGCAGGGTTCTACCTTTCAATTCATACACTTTGAGGCACAAATGCTCACAGAAACTAAGCCTCAAAGGGCAAAAGACACGGAGCACCATGCCTGTGCGTCGTGCTGTTGGCTGCATGAGGTGGGGGACCTGATCTTTGTGATCGGCTTCCACCGGAACTGGGCCGTGTCGGTGGGAGAGCACACGCCCTTCGAGGAAACCGACCGCCGTGTTCTTTGCCGAAGCGAGACGAGCCGCTGTGCTGTCGGGTGGTTGTTTTCGCCATGTTCGGACACCCGGGACCAGCAGGAGGTTGTTTTGCGCATGTAGACTCGTGTTGTCGAGAAGGGGTCAGGGGTCCGATAGGGTCATAGAGTCATATAAATAAATCTTGGTTTTCGGATGGGAAGAGTTGCTACAATAAACTTATTATGACTTATTAGCTTTGATGTGATTTTAGTGCACACGAGCGCAGGAGAATCTCCGTGGCTACCAGCGGATGCTGAGAGTTGGCAAGAGCGGCGCAGCAAACAGAGATGAACTTGGAGATTTAGGCGCCTTTCAGGGTCCAATCTTGAAAGGCATATGTCGGTGTGGCTCGCAAAGTATGATGATCCAGAAGCTGCAGGCGTTGGTCTTTCCAAGGGTTTATTGACACCCTCTCGTCGAAGAACGAAAGATGTGCGTACAGGTAAGCAGCGATTGCAAAGACGGCAGAAAGGAATTAGACCGGGTGAGATTCACTGGCCATATGTCGCATTGAAAGGGTTGTTTTTGTTGCAATTGACAACTTTTTTCCAATGCCAATTGGGCATCATGCACTTGGATATTTTCGCTGGACACATTGCACTTTTTGAGACGAGTAGCGATGCCCATTGCATGCCCCAAAGGCCTGCCACCAGCATCACAACATATCACCACCATCCCCCAGACCCCATCACTATCACATACCTGCAACCTCCGACCATCATCCCACCTGCCCCAGCACCCAACTAAATTCCACTCACTCACTCTCACGATGTCTCACCTCCCGCAAAACCGCGCGGGCTAGAACTGATCCGACTCGCACGCCGCGAGGCCTCCGAATCCACTTGGACACGGAGGTGGATGAGGCCGAGCTGGCGAAGGTTCGCCCCGTCGAGAAGGTCCTGGAGCCTGCTGGGCCGTTGGACCAGCGGCTTGGGGCGGCCGCTTGGGATGGTGTGAGCGGGGTGGATGGGGAGGTAGATGGAGCGATGTGTAACTGTTGGCCGAATTAGAGGACTGTGGGGGGTATGGGTGGGATGATGGAGTAGGTGTGGTATGGTGAGGTGATGGGATGGTGGAGCGGTTGGAAGCGCACAGGCTTGAAGTTCAATCTCTTCAGGCCCAGGCAGTTGAGGCCAGGGGGCAACAACGATAGTTCATTCCAGTGGGCATGGGACGTGGCCCCAAAGTAGATCTTGAATCTGGGTCTTCTTATACGTTCCAAAACATAATGGAATTCACTCACTTTTCGGTGATTCTCTCTCATATTCGGGGGCTGGATTTGACACGCCACTGTTGCCACTCCCAGCCTACTTGCAGACTCTTTACTCTTTGATCCCGCCAGCCTGGCACAGAGAATCATCGCTTCAAAGCACTCAGCCTGATCCCTGTGGATCAGCACAACCCGCCGTGCCGCACGTCCTTCACCCAGGCGAACTTGTCCCGTGAGAACAGTCTGGCGCTGGCGGGCCTCGATGAGGTCGCCGAGGAAACGCTCGAGAACCGCGACGGAGACGCCGGCCCGGCGGTGGCTGCGGTGCGGAGCAGCTTCGCGTGGGCGGCCAGGAGGAAGGAGTTGCTCAGTGGCGGTCACCTGGAGTGAACATGGGAAGTGAGGTGAAGTGAGTGTCGGTGGCCTATTCCCCTATAAACATTTATGTCTATGAGCCAATGAGTGGCCACAGTGAACTGAAGTACCACCCTGCAGTGCGTGGATGAGTGGATCATGAGCTTGAATTTCCACTTTAAAGCACATTCGAGTGACACTTATGATGCAATTTGCGCCGAGTCCGACAAGGGGCCCAGGTGGACCATGCAGCTTATCACAATTATTAATACCAAGAAGATCGGGAACCGAAAGATCCAGCCTTTTTGGGGGATTTGGTTTTTCTCATGCTGAGAGGCTGAGGGGCTCCAAAAATGGCCTTCCCTGGTTGAAAGGGATGCCACCGAAGCAGTCGTCCGCTGGTCGCCTCTTCCTCTTCCCATGGTCCGCTGGCCGCTGCGAGGATTGAAGAGCGTTCAGAACCGATGGGAGATCTTGAACCTTTAAGCTTTAGTAGCCAGAAGTTTCGGCCACACGTCGGACACCAGTGAGACCCCCTGCACATGGCATTTAGCAGACGCCAATGAACACACAGCTCCGACATGCTCCGACACTTAGTATGTGTCACAAGATGGAAAGTCAGCAAGGGACCCTTGACACTTCACCAGGTACCATGTCCTGCCAAATTGCCCTGCGGGTGGTCTCAGTCCCGGTTCTGCCCCGCCAAGCGGGGTGGACGGCACAACCGGAGAAGAAAACGGCGGATGACGCTCCGGAGGTGAGGGGCACTTGGAGGAAGTCAGGGTGTAAGGTTGTGGCAAGAGGAAGCTCCCATGGCCAGAGGAGTGCATGGAGATCACATACCTGACATCAGCATACTTTTTGGAATAGATTCATGGTAGATCATGGTAGTATTCATGGCATGTTCTATGATTCTATAAAGGTGTACGCGGTGTGTGATTCATTCCGGCACACTTCGATGATGGCACAGCTTTCTATGTTCACCCCAGCTTTTCAACGATAGTGACAATATGATGTTCAATGTTCATCTCATTCATGACACTTCGAAAGATCAAGAAAGCGTCCTGGTCGTGCAGGCCACTGCATATTTTTCCATGGCCCCAGAAATGCTTTTGGAGGGTGTTCCAGCCCCAAAAGCGTGCTCGAGTGGTTGGTCTTTGATCGTTTCATAAAGCTAACCGGCCTTCCTGACTCTTCTATTTTTGATGAAAGAGTGGTGGTCAGAGATCATGGCGTCATAGCCTTTACTGGCGTCAGGCACCACACACCCGGGTGTCCAGCTTGCTGGCAGCATCATGTGAGTGCAGAACCCAGGTGTGTGCCACTCATCCGTTTTCTGAATCGGCCACGGAGTCAGCGTTTCGCAAAGTTGTGTGTTTTGGTTCGTGGTACGAACAATGCATAGCAGTGGCCAGCCACTTGCAGACTTACTTTCCCGCTTTCTCATTCTCCAACCCATGATTTCGCCAAAGAGCATCACGAGCCGCCCGTAGCCTGATGAATCATCAGAATCCTTTATGAGGGAGTACTCTTGGAGCTGCATATATAGACCAGGCAGATGCTGCCCGGGGGTCTTGTTTTCGAGTTGATGCCCTCACAGCTTGGCTCAAGATTGCTAGCAAGGATTAGCTGCTTGAGCCATGGATGATGAACCCGAGACTTGTCAGTTGGATTGTTTGAAGACAGTATCAGTAGTTTCACCTGCATTTCAAGCTGCTTTCTTCCTTTTTATAAACATCAGGTCGGTAGTATTTGCCATGGCTTATCCCGACCGCGAAAAGCAAGATGAAACAGTGAAACACCCTGTTTGGTGCTGAAGGGGCAAAAGATGGACGTTTTACGTAGCTTGGTGAAGTCTACACGAGTACCTTCCTTAGAGCCCATCACATTCGACAGGCAGAACCGTGTTGAATTCGACACGTGCCAGCCTTTTTGGAGCCAGACCCACATTCGTGTTGAGCACCATCTCGTGCCTGTGCTGCTGGCGGCACATGGTAAGTCATTGCAACCGAGTAAAGACAACCGTTTGGTGCTCCGACCAAGACAAACAGAACTGAAAATAGACCAAAGAACTACAAAAAGAATCAAAAGAACCTCTTCAAACGTGAAGCACTCAACCGAACCCTCCATGAACTCTTCTTCCATTTTTCACCCCAACCGACCGTCCTAGGAAGTGACCCATGAAGACGGTGGCCGTGGGCCTTCGGCTGGTGGTCGCCCCCGGGGCCCTGTCACCGGCGGGTGGGGCTTTGACGATGGCGGCACCAGCAGCACAGGACCACGGATGAGCGCCGAGCCGCCCTCGCCGCCGGCGCGCAAGGGTGACTTTGGCAGAAGAGAGTGGAAGGGGGAGAAGGAGAAGGAGAAGAAAGGAGCACTGAGTGGCATTGAGAGGTTGATGTTGTTTTGTGTTTTTTCTCCGGATGAGATTGTATACCTTTGGGGAGAAGTTTTAATGGTTGTTTTCGTTGCGGGGCGGCTGCCTCAAGCTGCAGCAGATTTCAAGGACGACCCACTTAACTTGGACGCCCCTACAATATCGGACGTCAGTCCGGACGCCCTGTCTAACGCGGTTGTGGACCTGGCCTTGCTGCAAAATCTATGCATGGCGGCATGGAGGGGCCGTTTTCCATGGGGTTGTGATGTGATGCTGGAGCGGTGGGAATGGTGATCGAGCGCCACCCTCAATGGCTTGAACCAAGTCGGGGAGAGAGAGGGAGAGAGAGAGAGGGCCGGCACTCCTTTTGCACTTCCGGTGGGTAGAACTGAGTGGAAGAACATGGCAGAAGCCCCTTGAAATTATCTAGCATTGATAGAGAACGATATGTTGTTTCTTGTCCCACCAAAATGACGGCCCAGGTCATTTCGAGGAGGATGATGATGCAGTTCCAACGATCCCAGAGCTTCGGCTGAAAGGGGACGGCTTGTGGTGGACCATGCTGGACGTTGTTGGGGGTCATTGAATATCCCCAGGGCTCCGGCTCCGGAGGGCCCACCCCTTCGGCCCCAAAGGGCTGAGATGGAAAGACCCTTAAAACGGCTTCGCGCCCCCAATCTTTTGAATATGGGTGTGTGTTGGAATAGGGGGGGACCCTCCATAGATCCCCTTTGGGGAAGGAATATAGACCAAAATCCGGTGTTTTTTGGTTTCCATGTTGGATTTGGGGACTGGCTAGGAGCAAAGGTCAGACATCCAGTGAAGTTTGCAGCCTTCCCAGCCTCCGAACAGCATCCAAAACCAAAACCACGGGTTGATAGTTTGTAGAGACGTTTTCTTTAGTGGGGCTGATTCTTCAGGTTCCCCATCAATGCTTTTTCTGAGAAAGCAACATCCAGAACCAGACTTATGTATTTTATCTTACTTTGCGTCTAAATGCGTTTCCCTCGACATTGCATTCAAGTGTTTGCACTCAAGGATCTGGAGGAAGAAGCAGAGGAAGACATCACCAGGCTGCAAAGTTTCCGAATTGGAAACACGCCTATTGAAGACGAACAGCTTTGAGTGCAGGTTCACCCTTTTCAGATGAATTGTTCACCTTCCCAAGAGATGAACATCATAGTCAATTCACGTACCATGGAGACAAGTTGACCTGGCCGGAGGTTCAATCGTCCAAGCTGGTTCCTCACAACAGCGTTGGGACCAAGTGGGACCACCTTTGCCAAGACCGCGGCACACCTATCAAAAGCCCCAACGCCAGACTTCCACGAGGTAGATTTCACAAATCCCAGTACTTCCCAATAGGTGTTCCAATCAGATATTAGATATGCAAATCCCGGAAATGAGGGTCTAAGGCTTACATGGATTTGGGCGCTCCCCCACCAACTCTTTCAATCACAGGCAACTGGGCTAACACCCAAGCTACCAGAGCTTGAAGGACCCTGTAGAATAGACATATCGCATAGGTACCCCAGGTTACGGGCCTTTTTGGGGGGCCCACACATGCACACCGAAAAATATCTTGGTACAACGTCCAACTCGGCCAGGCAGGTGGCAGCCCCGCCAGTGGCTGCGCCTTCCTTGGCGCCGCCCGTGCGCACGGTCCGGGAGCTGGAGGGCGCCCTAAACAGCCGTGGCACGCTGCCGGCCAGTCCCGAAGAGGGAGCCTTGGATGGGTGAACGCCACGGCTGGGAGGGAAGAATGATAGTATCCCGCCCTACAATCTAGATGGTTGCTTGCCTTCTTTGACCAACGCCAGGGCTTTCCACTGGGTTGAGTGTTCCCGTAGGAAACCAAGAGGTTGATGATGAACATTTTGCCGCGTTGAGGTGTGTGGCCCCCAACCGATCAAAGGATCATGAACATCATGTCCTACCGTCCTATCCTTCAAACATAGCTGAGGGTGGAACATGGTGGAACCCTTGAAGGGTGAAATTTCAAGACGTTGATCTTCCAGAGTCGTCTCATTTGTTGAGGCTCCTCGGCTCCCCCCAAGCCCAACCGCCGCTTCCTTTCGGGCTTCACTCCCCGGGTCATCTCCGGAGCTGAGAGGCCAAAAAGGCACGGAGATGAGCTCAAAAGCTAAGCGAGCGTAAGATGCCACGAGCTGTATGGCGACCCCCCAAAAATAGACAACTGAAACCTTGTATTGGAATTCATATGTTCTTGTTTGGGCTATGGGATGGGGAAAAGCATGAGACGCTCAGCAACACTTGCAGATGCTGAGGAGTGGACTTGGCGCCATTGATGCAATGCTTGTGCTCTGATCGCCAGGCTGAGGGGGGACATACCGTTTGAGTCGCCGTCGCCTGTTCAAGATGAAGATGACCAGTTCCAAACATCGCAAGCGGGGAATGGTTGTTGGAGAGACGGGCGGGCGAAATCGCGCGGTGACGCTTTCGGAGATGCTTTTGGAGCAGCTTTGGCCTTTCTCACCTGCTTTTTCTTGACGAAAGGTCACGTGATGCATTGCGACTGCTTAGGGAGTTGTATCTCCTTGACAAGCCAGTCCGGTCGAGGAACCTCGGCGTCGATGACTTCCCTGGTAGCCTTTGTCCTCCCAAAATGACGCACACCCTGGGAACCCCCTCAGAAACCATGCCGATATACATAGTACATATAGTAGTTATTTCATTAACAACTCTTGGTGGGCATTGATAGCATCATCTATAGTGTTCATTCCATCCTCCACCCCTTCGCCAGGTGTTTGAACAAGACAGCAGCTTGGATTTTTTGCTGATCATGTTGGTAGCCTGAGGTTCCTGTGCCATCCGCAGGGAAAACACGATCCATGCAACCCGAAATACATATCCATTTTCTTTAGCAATTCTTTCGGCATCCCTGTGTCTTTGTTGAATGGTGGCAGTTTTGTAGGCGCGTGTTTTTCTTTTAATCTCAAGATTGCAAAAGAGGCCGCAGTGAGAAAGGTGCTGGTCCCACGGAAGGGTCGTTGGCCCAAAGTTACTGGCGTAAGGCGATACACAGTGCCACCGAAAAGATTTGCGGGCGAATGTGGCCACATAGCCCAGTGTTCTGCTTGTTTTTCGACATGCTCCCTGGAAAGGGGCCTACTTGGCAGCTCAAAGTTCACCACTATATACTCAGTGGTAGCACACCACCCGATGGACACTTCACTGCTATTGCTGCTGGATGCTTATTTGGGATGTTGTGGATGAGTCCATTATCGGGGCTTGTCCAATTTCACTGCAGCCGGCTAGAAATCTATCACCATGTTGGGTCATCGCGGCATATGGACCGTCCAGGCAGCTTTGTTGGCTCATCTCACCTCTGAGGCACCTGGGACCATGAGCTGATCTTCCAGGAAGTCGCGAGTGCCATCAACCAAGACATGCTGGGCGACGGAGAGGGCATCGAAAGCGAAGAGATGGACAATATGCAGAGGTGATGAATGAGGAGCACTCGCGTTGTCGCCCCTTTGCGGAGATGAATAGAGTGAAACCGGGCGATGTGTTCGGGAGCCTGCCTCATTGTTTCCAGTAGCAGTGGGTCAAGTGTCAACAAATTTTGTGGTCAAGGCCTGCTACCCACCACCATTTGCACTTTGTGGAACTGAGTGGTGCATACCCTAGGTGTGAAAAGTGGAGGTGGGAACAGGATAAATGGATTTGCTTTGGGTTTTGAGCATCCACCAGTCCTCCATTGCATTTTTACACATGATGTGAACTGGGGTACCAATGGCGTCACCTTACAGCTCCACCCGTGCAACAAAAACTGCTTGTCCCTACGACCTTGATCACCTCGAGGTGGCTTCCTCAGGGCTCACTTGGAATGCCGGATTCCCCACCAAAAAGCGGGGGTTGGCTTGCGGAATCAGGCAAGAAAAGGAAGATATGTCCTTTCCACCCTTGCAGATCAACATGGATCCCCAAAACCACTGGGTTGTAGAGGAAAATTGTCTTCAACGCCTCTGCAGAGGGGTATTCCTTTGTTGGGGTCAGGATGTTTTGTGTTGATGAGGCAGCTTTTGCTTAGTGGGTCAGCTCCACATGTGGGGATGGAGCCTGCTCCATGTCGGCCCACATCCTTTAACCTTGATCCCCTGAGTCGGCTAAATAGAATTGAAGCCTTCAATGCGCTTGTTACTAGTAGCGATGGCCTCCAACCTAATAGCGATGGCCTCCAACCTAGTATAGCTTCTTGTTGCTCGTAGCCTTGACTTGCCTCCCAACAAAGATGTCGCTGGCTTTGAATCCAAGGTGTGTCGTACAGCTACTTTGCCGGACTGAGCCTATCCTTGACACTGAAAAAAGGCATGTGCCATTCCACAGGTGGTGGGAAAGGGAACCTCGGGGCATGTAAAGGATGGGCTGGTGGATGCTACGGTGCACCTCCTCTTTGCAAGTGTCCTGGCAATTGGTATGCCAAAAACTGGGACGCCCAGAGGTCTTGGCGCCAAGCGCTTTCGATACCCACCAGACTTGCACAACTGACCCAGTGGAGCTTAGTGTTTTCCTTTGAATCCGAAATCGGTAGATCTGCTTTGACCTACACTACTGGCTTTTACTGCTGGTAAAGTACGCATCCATGCTTTTGGTCAGGAAGTTGCTTCAATCCCTGGCGATGACGTTTCCTCTTGGCTCAGACCTTGTACTGCGCGACGGGTGGGTTGATTGTGGATTTCCTAGTTGTTGGCGGATCCGAAGGTGAAACTTCAGGGCATTGGGGTTATCGGATATATCATATAACTCAAGCGAGGGTGGGTTGCCCTCTGATTTGGTGTTACACCAAGAAACAGAGCTTAAATTCAATAGACTCCCCTGGATTCTTTGAGACCATATGACACCACCCAGCTAAAAACAGAGACCCAGATCTCACATAGAATGCCAAGAAGCACAGGCTGCCGCGAAAAGCCGCGTTGACCCGTGTGCCCCGGAATGCCACGATGTCTGGTCAGTCTGATGATCACGAGCATGTGGACCGCAGCTACGCAGCTTGGCCACAGTGCGGAGGTCAGAGGGGATGCTATGTTTGTGTGGGTTGCAATGTTGGCGTTGCTGTTGTCATGGGTTGTTCTGCAACTGCATGAAAGCCTTTGTTTGTTGACTTTCTAGCGGAAAAGTGCACACACAAAGGTTGCGTGTGGATATTCCAGTTGAACATTTGTCAGATTGCCATGTAGGGTTGCCATGATGAAGGAGCCTTTGCAAAAGAAGGCATCCAGTCAGTTTTCTGAACACATTTGTTGCATCATATTCCCCTTTTTTTGCCTTGTTCCTCATCATGCAGAACGAGAGCCGAGGAACGGGAGACCCTTTCGTGGTCAGAGTTCAAAAGCGGAAGAGTTGCCTTGTCCACTGCCTCAGATGTAGTGATCGTGGACCGTGCCAAGTATGCTGGCAACATCGGACGCTTGGTGGGCGTAAGTTCTGACAGCTTTGAACTCACCCAGCTGGCGACCGTTTCTGTCCGTTGATTTCCAAATCTTGGGAGGTACAGCCATGGCGTACCGAAGAGTAGGAGGTGTGCGATGGCAATGAGTGATGGCAATGAAGGGGGTTTGCAGCCTTTGCCCCTTGCGGTGCCCTCCACTTTCTAGAAAGCCTTGGAGGGTTCCTGATGATTTGTGGCTGATATTGATCCGTCACCTGAACAAACCCAAATCGGCTCACATACTGCCAATAGCAACGGGATGCACTGGAACAGGTGGGTGATGGTTGCACTCACGCGTTAGGGGGTTGAAGTTCAATTCAAAGGCTAAGAATCGAAGGGCCTTTGCGCTGATGTGACATAAGTCACCTGACCAAGTCATGGACGGCACATGGACGGTGAAGGCCGACACATGGCGGTACCCAACCTGTGCTGAGGCTCAATCTTGAGACACATGCCAATTCTGGGTGGGGCGCAGGCCCGGAAGGTCCAACACCATGCATGCAGGTTGCAAAAAACAGTGCAACAACAGTCTAAACGTTGCAAAACGCTTCCCGAGGTTCACCGTTGTTTCTTGTGGTTGTGATATGTTGTGATCCGTGGCCAGGAAGAAAAACCCAGATATTGTGGCCAGGTATATAATTGGTTGATCAGGGCGTCAAGTGGCATAAACATTACAAGCAAAAGATGGCTAAGTGGTAACCTTTTCAAGAAGCACGTGGCCCATGAAGAAGCTTGATGGGAAGGAATATTAACATGTTCCCAGTCCAAGAGAACGCCAGCCCCCTGTGCAGGTGCTATTTCTGGCAAATAGTTCATACAGACTCCCTTCACCCTACCCGGTCGCTCGGCCATTGCCAGTGGTACGCAGGGAGCATGCAAGGGTTGCGCAGCTTCCATATTTGATAATTTAGTGATGCTTCGTATGCTTACAGTTGCGTTTAGCATATTCAGCATTTTTATATTCATGTTGTGCTCACCATGCAAAAGTGTCCTTTGAAGATTGTGTTTGCTGGCACGTCAAGCCCGAAAAAATAATTGAGAAGTTGGAGGGTGGTGGGGAGAATCTGAGGTTTACACCCGAGGTTTCCTGAAGGAAGTGATGAGAGTATCTATGGCTCGAAACTACGAGGCGCGCGGGTGTTTTTTACGGTTAAAGCACTTGATTTGGCCGTGTTTTTGGACACGTGTAACTGGATGGACACCAACCTATCTGGCATTATTTGGCCCTTAAACCGGATCTTCTTTGGAAGTACGAGCGCGAAATCGCCCCAAGTTGGAAGCTGAGTGAGTGAAAGGAATCCAGGTCAGAAGAAATCCATTCACACAAGCAAGTGTATGGTTTTGCATTGTTTTCCTTGTGGAGGACTTTGGAAGCAAGCTATGTGTCCTGGAAGGGGATGGAAAAGAAGAGCTGATTGACCTGCTCCAGCGATTGAAAGCCCCTCAGCTGCCGACCGTTTGTGGCAGTCGCCATGTTGGTGGTTGGAATCCAAACAGGCCAAGTTGGATTTACCCCTTCAGGCGAAGCACAGCAGTAGATTGAACCTCGGAGAAAAAACTCCTTTGGGGACACCACCCCAAAGGCGAAACAGTGAAGATGTGGAGATTTCTTCATCAAAACAGCCGACAGGATGAACAGCAGGATAGGCAAAACATACCGTGAAGTCACAACGTTTAGGCAAGTATATAACTCGTTTTTCTTTCGTTGGGCTTTTTGGAACGGCTGGTCTGTGAGCCAAAAAGTCTAGGCCTTGGGCTTCAAGCTGCTGCTTCTGGAAAATCGAGAAGTCTTCCAGGACAGACGCGCCGGAGGTATCAATCATGTAAATCACCCGATCCCTAAATGTGGGGTGCGATGGGGTTTTGGTGTGTCCAAAGCAGTATCACGAACTACAAGGAGTGGTCGAGTTGCTCAGAGTTAATGCTTTGGCTGTGAAGCACATCAACTTTGCTGCAATTGCCGGGTCCAAGACGAGGCGTGGCCTTGAATCGCTGTTTGTGAGGATCCTCGGCTGGTCGGATGCACAGCTGAATCGATCTTCCAGCATCCCCTGATGCTTGGGATGGATCAGCAGCTTCAGACGTTTTGATTGAAGGCCAACAGAAAGATGGCCGCAATGAAAGATATGCATGGACGTTGCATGGACACATCCATATCAGTGTTCTTTGTGTGTTTTTTTCCTTAGTGTTTTTTGCTCACGCAGCCAGATGTCAGGTTGGTGAGTCTACACTTGCCGACACCATTGTCATGTCAAGCATTTTTCAGGGTTCACGTTCTGAAGGTCTGCCAGACCAACCACAAGAGGTATCCAACAGGATGGAAGACCTCGGTGCCGAGGATGGAAGACCTCGGTGCGCCTTTAGCCTTCATTTTTGGTGGGGAGGTTGGACAGCTGCTGCCGGAGGTCTTGCTGTATTGTGATGCTGGGGCCTTTATCCCTAGCTCGGTTGGGGAGGGAGAAGAACCTTTGCTGAGACTTCCGGAGAGAAGTTTTTTTTGGGGGATGTCACATGCGATATATATATATATGTATATAGCTCATATCTGTTCAATTTGTTGTGTATTTGTGCCATTGGCCTATAATCGTTTTTCCCTTTCATTTTTGTTGTCCGAGGCAGCCCACCGGACCCACGAGCATGGCCACGAACCAACCGCAGATGCGGTCGATGTGCATCCACTTCCGCGCTTGCGGACGCACTCGTGCAACGTGAGCGTGGCGGCGTGCGTTGTTTTGAGCGAACGCTTCCGGTGGCGCTACCGGAATGATTCTGCAAACATATTATATAGATTTTTTGATTTGGATATTTATAGTTTTTCTTATTATATATAAATATATAAATGATATGATATATATATATTTGTTGATATAGAATAATAAATAATAATGATAATATTTGTTTTTTTAAACAATATTGATTAACATAGAATAGAATTATTATTATATGGATAAAATTTATATATATATATTGTAATGTTGTATATTATATTATATATATATTATGTAAATTTAAATATTAATATTATTCTAAATATTGAAAATATTGGATATTAAAATATTTATATATTTAATATGTTTATGATTATAAGGGCTAATATTAATATATTGGAATTGTTGTATTAAAAAATATAGGAATTTAAATATTTGATAATATTATGGAAAAATAAATTTTTATGTATATGATTTTTTTATTAATGGATTTAATTTTTCTTTGTAATTTTTTTGGATAATATATATGTTTTGATATAATGGGACGATTATTATTCGTTTTGTTTGTATTTTTGCAATTTATATTATTAATCGTTAATTTTTTTTGAAATGTTATTGCGGTAATTCTATTAATTAATTGTATATTGACATTAATTTTTAGATATATTTTTGATTTTATATTGAAGGATTGGGATATTATAAATATTTATAAATTATATTTTATGAATTTATTTTATTCGATGATATAAAAAATTATTTTTGAAAATTATTGAAAATTTGATATTTTTAAAGCAATTTATATATTTATTGTGAACCTCTTGGATTTCATTCTTTATTTAACAGCGGCAGGTCCGCAAGGCTTTTCGAATATTGAAAGATAGATTTATCGGTTCGATTTTCTGGGGATGATATTATTTGATTAATTTTCATCGCTTTGACAAGCATAAATGAAAAAAAAAAAATGGCGCGAATAATAATTAGATTTGCCGTTGGTTTTGTCGAGTAAGTAAGTTGTGCCTAAGTAGGGGTAATAAAAGATCTAAATGATCGATATGCATGGATAATTATTGATGTTTGCCAATGAATTGCCCCAAATACAAGAATATTATTAACATTTGTATTGTGATCCAGATTTCTAATGGATTATGAAAGGTAATTCTTTAGGGGATACCTTGATTCCCCCCCCTTGGTATTGATTTTTAATATAAATATTTCCTAGAATTGATTTTTGAATTTAGACCCACTTTCCTCCCCCCCCCCCCCCCCCCCCCCCCCTCTGACCGCTTTATCCCGGAATGGATCGTCTCGACAATTCGGTGATTATTTAGTGTTGAACACTCGAAATTTGGCGTAGAGATTGAACCTATGCAGAGACATGATATGTTGTTTTTGATATTTCTTGTTGTTGAAGATTATTATATAATTATATATATATGATATATATATATCGAATTTTGGTCTTGTCGCAAATTTTGCAATTGATATGGAATTGGAATCCGCCCACAATATATTGCGTATTTTATATGATTCTTTTCTTCCCGTTGTCCTATCTTTCGTATATCCCTCTTTTCAAATCTCCTTGGATATGGAGAAGGCTTTTGATTCCGTCAGCAGGGAGATTGTCTATCGGGCGTTTGACTTAATATCTCTCCCATATGATTTAGACTTGGCTGACCCCTCATAAGTATGTTATCCCATTCTATTTTTTATTTTGGATAAATTTAGTCGAACCGGGGAATTAAATAGGAATCGATGGATGCCCCAATCCTGTGGATACTCTGTATGCACTTGATCTTGCATAACCTGCTCAGCCGATATTCCCATCAGTGTTTGAATGATCATCTCATGATCTATGCGGATGATGTCCATATGAGGTGGTGTTTCAATTCTACAGCAATTGATTTTTCCGCCCTGATTGACCTTTCCCACATATTGCATATATGTTCTTTTGGCTTCAAAATCATTGCTACTAAAAGTGTTGTGCTTTTCAGAGCTGTTGGCCGTGGAGTGGTTAAATTTATCAAAATGCGATTCATACGGATCTCCTTAGGCCCGCAGATATTGATTCAGGATTCACCATTTCGCTTGCCTATGGTGACCAAAATAGCCTACCTCGACATCAATTATAGGGCATGGCAAACGGATACCAATTCTCGACGCATCCAAGCAGCACAACTTTGTATTTTGATCTTGTAGCGATGATTCCAGGAACAAACCATCCCACAGAGCATACGCTTTAGATTGCATCAACAATGTGTTGTGCCTACCGTCCTCTATGGAGTCAATGAAATGGGGTCTGCCTACGCAGTGCTACAAAACTAGACGACGAGTGGCCCGAAAGCATTTTTCATTACGTTGGAAGTCAGAGTGTGAGTTATCTGTTAAGTGTTCAGTGTGAAGAGTTAAGTCGAGTGAGTTGAGGTAGGTCTCTGTGTGTGTGTATTTATGTCTGTGTGTGTATGAGTCTCTGTCTCTGTGTGTGTGTCCGAGTAAGTTGAGGCAGTGCGTGGGTCTCTGTGTGTGATGTGTGTGTATGAGTCCCTGTCTGTGTGTGTGCGTCTATGCCTGCTGCTGGTGCAGGTCTTCATTGTAGATATAGTGAACGAAGTAGCGCGTAGGCCTCCTAAACTCCCCACCGGCGGCTAAGCGATGATTGCCCAGCTCATCGTCGTGAGCATTTGAGCTGCTGGTAAGGGGAGAAGTAGCGTGCACGCCTCCAGGAAATGTCATTGAAAAAAGCGAGCTGGAATGAACACAGAAAATTATTGAGGCAGGTACGCAACAAGTTTGTCGAAGCAATGACCTGTCAGAGGAGATGCGTCTATAGGTAACGTTTCCTTCACTCTAGGACACAGCTTTTCTAGGATGTAATTCACCAACCACTATGCTTGTCATTGACTAATTGATTGTCTCAAAGAAAAACGTGACAAAGTAGCATGAGGTGACACACAGCAGGCACTGCAGATGTTTTAGCGTACTCTCGCTGTTCAGCTCGCGCGCCGAGTGAACGAACTAGCGCGCAGGGCCCAACTCATCGTCGTGAGTATTTGAGCTGCTGGTGAGGGGAGAAGCAGCGTGCACGGCTGCAGGAAATCTCATTGAAAAAAGCGAGCTGGAATGAACACAGAAAAGTGCTGAGGCAGGGACACAACAAGTGCAAGGGATTTCGCGCACTCGACACGCACGATCTCCGCAGAGGGTTGCGAGCGGACCGGACAGATCGCACTCTCGCCTGCATTTCGTACACTCGACACGCATGATCTCCGCAGAGGGTTGCGCGGGCATGGGACTGCATTTCGCGCACTCGATACGCACGATCTCCGCAGAGGGTTGCGCGGGCACGGGCCAAATCGCACTCTCGCCTGCATTTCGCTCACTCGACATGCACGATCTCCGCAGAGGGTTGCGCGCGCACCGGCCAAATCGCACTCTCGCCTGCTTTCGCGCACTCGACACGCACGATCTCCGCAGAGGGTTGCATTTTCGATTGACGCTGTTCTTCCTACCCTCCGCCTCTTAGAGAGAATTTATAAAGTAGGAAAATGTTTTTCATTAGGACATCTCCCGCACAAGTTTTCATTAGGACATCTCCCGTGCAAATTTTCCATACTCATATTTTTAATTTATTTGCATCCTTGCACTGGGAATGCACTTACACTTGCATACTTGCCCTTGGATGCTTTTTACCCTTACACTAGGATACGTATAGACGTGTCAGTGTTCAAGTGTCAGTGTGGAAGCGTAAGTGTTCAAGTGTGAGTGTAGAAATGTCAGTGTTCAAGTGCAAATGTGGAAGTGTAAGTGTAAGTGTCGAAGTGTCAGTGTTCAAGGGATTTTCCGGAAGAATATTTCGCAATGCTTTCGGGAAATATATCTAATATAATGAACCAATACTATAGACGCGTGACCAGATCCCCATAGCACTTGACACATGAGAATACCACCATTTTTTCTCAACCGAATTGATATTGAGGCGCCTGGACCCTCATTTCTAAGACTTACCATCGCTTGACCGCAGCACTGGCCACCAAACGCCAATCCATATCGGATTCTGATCAGATGCCTCCAGATGTTTATATCCTCAACCCGGACTATCCTTATTGTGTCATTGATGATTACATTCCACCCTCACCGCCCCAGCCTCAGACCTCCTTGGCTTGTCCTGAGTGTCACAGGCAATTTCCTCAGGCGGGTATGCTGAAAAGATTTCTCCAACAGATGCATCAAATCCCCTGGTTATCGGAAGATGTGTTTAGGCCACTTAGAGATGGTTTTGACGGACGACCCATTTATAATCATTGTAAATTCGAATTTGCCACCATATATTCGTTCAGAGATCATATTAACAAAAGAGCTTGTCATGCCTTTGACTCGACACAGGCCATTATTTTCCCCATCGTGGCTAGGGAGGATTTGCGGATGCACGTTCGTCATCGATCATTCATGGGCCTCATGTTAGATGGGTCCCTTTGCTCCGAATTGGTGATTCGGTGCGCATTATGCAATGTGATCATATATGTAAGGATTATGATCCGTTATTTTCATCGATGTTCACCCTGAGCTTGCTGGTCCTGCCCGCCAGCAATATGATTTTGTTGTTGGCCTCTCGAACCTGGTCTCCGGAAAGGACCAATGCCCAATGTATAGGGGCAAAAATGTCAACGTCTAGACACATACATGTGCCATTATCAGCTAGCCGCCGTTTCGGGACATATCATGCAACCGGCCAACTTCCCAATCATGCCGCTTCGCAAACGACCCTGGGTCAGAGACAATTGGCACAGGCCTTGAAGATCAGAAAGACGCCTCTGCGGTCATTGCTCCGGCAACCAAATATGTTCGACAACATTTATCGGACCCCCAGCGTCCTATTGATATGGAGCCAGCTGACCATACCAGATCCAATTCATCAGCTAGCCCAACATTGCACAAGTGTTCCCAATGCCAAGCATGCTTCTTGAGCCCAACAGGATCAATTTAACTTGTGCATCTTATGGTTGAGGGCAGAGCCGATGCGCCCTTGGCCCACCAAACGGGAACGACCCACAATAAAAGAGACCATTGC